TGGAACAAGACCCCCACACCGGGAGACCTCCATGTTGGAGCAAGACCCCCACACTGAGAGACCTCCATGTTGGAACAACACCGCCACACCACAAGACCTCCTGCCCTGCGTTGTTTTGGGATCTTGCCGTGCGCAAAGCTGCGTTTTGGTTGTGACAGCAGAAACTGCACTTTAAGAGCAGTATGTTGTCTGTTACCAGGCAGTCGAGGTGATATCATATACAAATCTGTCCTTTAAGGACTCAGCAGGTAATGATCATCAGGTTAGTTTAACATGGCACGTCATCTCTTACTCTCAGAGGTGTAACAGACCCTTTAAGAGGTGGAGGGTAACTTACACCCTGCACCATTTACATTCCCTAGTTCAACCATTATGTAGTTGAATGGTGGTGCAGGTTCAGTAGGCTGAATGGCCTACTCATGATCCTATCCCCTATGCTCTCAGGACTGAGCAGAGTGATTGTATTCATCACACTGAAATTGAGAGGTCAAGTATGTTCGGCCTGGACCCATTGAAGTTTAGAAGGATGAGAGGTGACCTTATTGAAACTTACAAGGATATTGGGAGACTTGATAGGATAGATGTGGAGAGGTTGTTTCCCCTTGTGGGAGAGTCCAGGACCAGGGGTACAATCTCAGAAATAACAGGTCCACCCATTTACGACAGAGGTGAGGAGGAAATTTCTCTCTCAGAGGGGACTGAATCTGTGGTATTCTTTAGCATTAGAGGGCTGTTGAGGCAGGGTTAACTAAGCATATTCAAAGCTGAGATCGACAGATTTTTAATCAGTAAGAGAATCAGGACACACAAGAATTGTTACAGAGCAGAAGGAGGCCATTCAGCCCATTGTGTTTGCACTGGCTCTATCCCTTAGTGTCAATCTCCTGCCTTTTCCCATTTCCCTGCTCACCATTTCTATCCAAATCGTCATTCAAATCCCTCTTGAATTCCCAATTCATGCGAGGTCTGAAGTTGGAAACAGCAGCGAGTGGAGTTGAGGATGATCAGATCAGCCAATATTTTGTCGAATGGCGAAGCAGATTCGGTGGGCCAAATGGCCGACATCTGCTCTTACATCTCTTATGCTTTTAGGATTAAAACACAGCCACACAGCTTCTCCAACACAGTGGAGTGAGACTGAAAGCTTGCAATAACATTGGTAACTGTTTGAAAAGTGTGTATCACCGAGTGATGTGAGACAGCTGCTTGTGTGTTCCGGGGTTATGTAGTTGTCTCTCTGTGTACCACTTGGAGTTTCGTAAGCCTTGTGTTACTGCAGATGCCAGCCAAACAGGGTTTTACATTTTGTGTAATATCGCTGCAATGTGTAACCACTGAACAGGTGCTGGAGAATCACTGTCTGCTGGGATAGCTCACAGTATCCTCGTTGAGAGAAATATTATTGCAATCAGTCTCTGGCAGATCACTGAAGCTGGGATGTAGTCACCGAGCTTAAGTATGACATTGAATCTAGTCACAAATTTTCAGTCTTTCGGGATATATTGAATTGAAGAAGAATCTTCTGAAGAAATGTCTGACCGGACTTGAAGAGTTAACTCTGTTTCTTGTCTTCAAAGATGCTGCCAGACCTGCTGAGTATCTTTAGCAATGTCCGCCCTTGTTTCAGATTTCCAGCATCTGTAGGATTTTGCTCCTATTTGAGCAGTTGTAAATGTCTTTGACTCCATTTGCAATTCGCCAATATTTAATCTTATTTCGCAAACACTAACACACTTTGGTTATAATAGAGGTGTGGGTGGCATGGTGGCTCAGTGGTTCAGTGGTTAACACTGCTGTCTCACAGCACCAGGGACCCAGGTTTGATTCCACCCTCGGGTGACTGTCTGTGTGGAGTTTGCCCCATATTCGTTTGAGTTTCCTAGTTTCCTCCCACAGTCCAAAGATGTGCAGGCTAGTTGGATTGACTATACTAAATTGTATATGGTATCCAGGGATGTGCAGGCGAGGTGGATGAACCATAGGAAATGCAGGGTTACAGGGATAGGGTAGGTCTAGGTGGGCTGCTCTTTGGAGGGTTAGTGTATACTTGATGGGCTGAATGGCCTACACAGTAAGGATTCTATCACTCTTATGGCCTGGGGTACAGCATTGGTTGGGTCTGTAGAATACAGTGTGGGATATGATAGTAGCTGGAACCTGTTGTAAATTATGGAGTTGGCACCAATCCCAAAGTAGGATCTGAAACTGGAATGGGGCAAGAAATGGTGTGGTGTTGAAGATCTCTGTGTGTGTACAGTGTGAATACTATGGTTCATAATGTGTTATATTGAGGCTGACCAGAGCTCAAGGACTGGTATAGAATGTGGTCAGTGTTGTATAAGGGTGTAAGGACTGAAAGGGTTAATACCTGTAGAGTACTTTAAGCATCACCCAATATCATGATGTCACAGGGAACTTGGTGGGAGAAAAGCGAAAGATTCGAAAGGAGAAAAGACCAAACATCCACGTCCTCTGGTGTAACTTGTTGCTAACATTCAGTGAATTCCATGTTGGACCAGCGAGGTGTTTTCCTCAACCATACCAGACCCAGAAGGTCCTGAACGAGGATGGTGGCAGCAAACCTATCCCATAGTGGGCAATAGTGCCAACAGCCTCATACGACATGGCGGTCTGTGCCCATCCAGCAGGACACCCCTGGTCCCACCACTGAGATGTGAGATGAATGGTGGAAGACACTGTCTACTGTAAGGAGTGAGGCCTGTGTGAGGTGTGTCGGTAGAAATTCTTCAACTGCCTGCATGCTAGTTCTGACCTTCACAGCCTAGTTTGTGTCTCTCTCTGACTGGCACTGTCCCTTTGCAACTCAAGGCGCAATAATTATTTAAAAAGTAAGCTTTTCCTTCCAGAACCGGAGAGGGGGAGCAGGGTCACAGTTTAAGGATATAGGGTGGGCCATTTAGGACTGAGATGAGGAGAAATGCCTTCGCCCAGAGAGTGGGGAGCCTATGGAATTCTCTGTCATAGAAAATAGTTGAGGCCACAACATTAAACATTTTCCGGAAGGAGTTGGATAGAATTCTTAGGGCTAAAGTGATCGAAAGAATATGGGGAGAAAGTGGGAATTAGGGACAGATTTGGATAATCAGTAGAACAGGATTGAAGGGCTGAATGGCCTACTGCTCCTATTTTCTACATTCCTATTTACATTGACCTTTTCTGTAAATATTTTAAAAGCAACTTAAAAAGACCAGCAGTTGAATGGTAGAGTAGGCTCAAAGGGCCAAATACGAACTCCTGTTCCAATTCTCCGTGTTTCTACATGTCAAGACAATTTGTTAGCACAATGCATTGGGCAGGCAATGGCCTAGCGGTGTTATCGCTGGATTGTTAATCCAGAGACCCAGATAATGTTCTGGGCACATGGGATTCGAATCCTGCTAAAGCAGATAGCAGAATTTGAATCCAATTTAAAAAAAATATCTGGAATTAAGAATCTAATGTTTGCCCATGAAACTGCTGTCAATTGTCAGGAAAAACCCATCTGGTTCACTAATGCCCTTTAGGGAAGGAAACTGCCACCTTTATCTGATCTGACCTACATGTGACTCCAGACCTACAGCAATGTGGTTGATTCTGGACAGTTAGGAATGGGCAATACTTGTTGCCTAGCCAGCATCGCCCTCATCCTGTGAATGAATAAAGGGGAGAAACAAACTCTTGGTAGCAAGTGAGACTCTCGGACTTGATGTTAATCTCACCTAATGCTGAAACACCAAAGGGACCTTTCGTCAGTGCGATCTCTGACCTCTTCCCACAGGTTGCCCAATTACAGAACCTTTATTAACACCACTCTATTATCTACACATCAAGTTCAGGCGAGAGACTGAGTGAGCTTTACAGGAAGTTGAAGTGTTTTAAATTAGCCATTGACATGTAAGCAGGAAAGATTTTGGTGAATGTTTCAATTTGCACCTTAGAACAGAACTTACTTGTCGTTCCCACTTGTACTTCTTTGCATGTGCTGTTCTTGTATTGAGTTTTAATTGAAATGTTATAATTCATCCCTTCCATAAGATCATCGAATATCACTTCGCCACTTATCTTATTGTCTGTTTTCGTGACATTGTCTAAATTCAGTTCAATCGATTTGAAATCTTGTGTCAGATTTGTCCAGGTAACTTTCAGGGCCGTAGTGTTCTCAGGAAGAATGGAGACAGCTGCTTATTGAAGGGAAATGGAAATAAATAAATAAATACATACATTCTGTTAAAAATGACTTGAGTACTCATGTGATTTCATTCACAATAAAACTGCTTGGGCCCTGGAAAGGCCTTGTACGCACAAACAGTGAAGGTGCTCAAAATGGAAAGAGATGCTTCTTTGGGTAGGCAGCCAGGTGTAAGAGGAGACAAAATGGCCGACCAGAAATGATGAGCTGATTCTATGTCCCTCATTCAATATGTTTTAAGTTTTAAGGTAAAGGAAGTCCTTTGGGTATATTTTATGTTTGTCTGATTCTCTCCTCCCAGTGTTGTACACCATTGCAGTTTATTCAAGATAGTAAAGACATCAAAGGGTATGGAGAGAAATTTGGCATTGAGGTAAAGGATAAGATTGAACACTGAAGCAGGCTCAAACTAGCCAAAGGGCCTATTCCTGTTCCTCGTTTCTATGCTTAGGGAGGCATAGGTAGTTGGTTAGCTCAGTTGGCTGTACAGCTGGTTTGCAATGCAGAACAATAGTAACATTGTTGGTTCAATTCTTGCACTAGCTGAGGCTACTGTGATGGATTATCCTTCTCAATCTTTCCCCTTATCTCAGGTGTTGTGACCCTCAGGTTAAATAACCACCAGTTGTCTCTGTCTAATGGGAAATGTTCATCCTGGAGTTCAGTTACTAGTGGTGTACCTCAAGAATCTGTTTTGGGGCCACTGCTGTTTGTCATTTTTATAAATGACCTGGATGAGGGCGTAGAAGGATGGGTTAGTAAATTTGCGGATGACACCAAAGTCGGTGGAGTTGTGGATAGTGCAGAAGGATGTTGCAGGTTACAGAGGGACATAGATAAGCTGCAGAGCTGGGCTGAGAGGTGGCAAATGGAGTTTAATGCGGAAAAGTGTGAGGTGATTCACTTTGGAAGGAGTAACAGGAATACAGAGTACTGGGCTAATGGTAAGATTCTTGGTAGTGTGGATGAGCAGAAAGATCTCGGTGTCCATGTGCATAGATCACTGAAAGTTGCCACCCAGGTTGATAGCGTTGTTAAGAAGGCGTACAGTGTGTTAGGTTTTATTGGTAGAGGGATTGAGTTTCGGAGCCATGAGGTCATGTTGCAGCTGTACAAAACTCTGGTGCGGCCGCACTTGGAGTATTGCGTACAGTTCTGGTCAGCGCATTATAGGAAGGATGTGGAAGCATTGGAAAGGGTGCAGAGGAGATTTACCAGGATGTTGCCTGGTATGGAGGGAAGGTCTTATGAGGAAAGGCTGAGGGTCTTGAGGCTGTTTTCGTTAGAGAGAAGAAGGTTAAGAGGTGACTTGATAGAGACATACAAGATGATCAGAGGATTAGATAGGGTGGACAGTGGGAGCCTTTTTCCTCGGATGGTGAAGGCTAGCACGAGGGGACATAGCTTTAAATTGAGGGGTGATAGATATAGGACAGATGCCAGAGGTAGGTTCTTTACTCAGAAAGTAGTAAGGGCGTGGAATGCCCTGCCTGCAAAAATAGTCGACTCGCCCACTTTAAGGGCATTTAAATGGTCATTGGATAAACATATGGATGATAACGGAATAGTTTAGTTTAGATGGGCTTCAGATTGGTTTCACAGGTCGGCGCAACATCGAGGGCCGAAGGGCCTGTACTGCGCTGTAATGTTCTATGTTCTAACAAGAGTGGGACAACAATGACTTTACCTTTTCAGGGAAGCATTTTCAATTTTTTCCCAAACTATCTTTTCCGATCCCTTTAAGAATTTCCTATAGGTGTCGCTGCCACCTGACTTTCAGTAGCTGCAAACATCTCAGCAAACAATCTTTCATTCTTAGCTGTACATTGGCCTCCTCCTGCAGCCTTCCAACTCTGTTTCAAAGTCAAGGAGACAAGGGAATGGACTTAAAGCTGTTTAATAAGTGTGAGGGATTGGCTGGGGAACAGGCAGAGAGGATCTTGTGTCTCACTGGATCACCATTCCCATGTGTCCCTGACAATTTAGGGAAACCACTGCAGGGCCAGTGGCATGAAATTTGTGAAGGGATCTCCTCACAAGGCCAGCGAGATTTCTCACTGTATTTTATAAAATCCACTTTATTAACCAACCCCTAAAGCGTCCCCCATGTCAAATTCCAGCTCTGTCTTCCAACATGCACTTCCTGGAACATCTCACCACTAACACATACCGGCTGGGAATTCACCAACATCCATTGAGCCCGCGCCGTCTTTAAATGCCCTTTGTGCCCCCGGAGAAGCATTGTCCATCTGGAGCCGCTCTGCTCGGTTTCTTGTATTTGCCCTGGACAGGGGGATAGCGGTTCCCTGCTTTGTGGGCAGGGACTTGGAGGTCCCGCTGGTCAGGGTGGTGTGAACGTGGTGGTCCAAACCAGCTTGGAGGCCAAGACACCAGACCATGCCAACCAGGCCTGAGGGTTAGAGCAGTCTCAGCCGTCTGCTCTAATGCCAGATGCTGTAGGAAGAAGGTCAATGACCTTTGCCACTGTGCCAGGGTAGGTGCCACCACCTTCTCTCTGATCGCTCACACACACTCTTTCTCTGCCACTGCACCCACCTCCCACCAAGGCTCACCCCCACAATTGGCTGCAACATCTTCCCTCACTCACTCTCACCCACCCCAACCCCCCTAACACACTCACCCTGCCCTGCCCTCTGCATTGCCCCCTCACTCACTCTCACCCATCCCAAGCCCCCTAACACACTCACCCTGCCCTGCCCTCCGCATTGCCCCCTCACTCACTCTCACCCATCCCAAGCCCCCTAACACACTCACCCTGCCCTGCCCTCTGCATTGCCCCCTCACTCACCCGAGGGTCACCTCCCCACCTGAGCCGACAGTAACCGCTGTGCCACCCACTGTCACCTTCTGCAATACCTGCCTCTCTCTTATTCCAGGGGGCAAACAGCCCACGATGCGAGCAGAAAGAGTCAGTGGGCTCTCCAACATGGACAGCACCCTGATTCTGTGCCAAGTGGCTGACTGACTGTGTCCAAGCCTCTGGACTGGTATCGGAGACTGTCCTCAGACTCACTGTGCTGGGGACACTCCGCCTCGAGTATATCCCCCTCAACTTCACTGCGGCCTACTGGCACCTCGGACAAACTTCCTGGCTTTGTGTCTGTGCCAAAGGGTAAGGCATGACAGCAGCAATGTGAGCCTGGGTATCTCTGGCTGAGAGAGAAAAGTGAGCCTTCCTCAGAACTGATGGTAGCGAGGAAAACGTTGGTTTGTATGCAGAAGATTGGGTGGGTGGAGACAGCACTCACTCAATGAGAGAGTAGAATAGTTCAGTGAACAAAGGAGTGGATAACGATCAGGCTAGGAGACTGAATAGCTATTAATGGGGGCTGTTAGTGGCTAACAATAGGTTATGTGTAAAAGCAGACTATGTGATAACAAGGTCTGGTTTGTAGGGTTGGGATAAGGGCATAGGAAAAGCTCCAGTGCTAAAGTTGTTGAACTCAATATTGAGTTCATAAGCCTGTAGACTTCCCAAGAGGAAAATGAGGTGTTGTTCTTCCAGAGATAACAAGGTGTAGAGCTGGATGAACACAGCAGGCCAAGCAGCTGTGTTCTGAAAATTTCTGAAGAAGGGTCTAGGCCCAAAACGTCAGCCTTCCTGCTCCTCTGATGCTTCATGGCCTGCTGTGTTCATCCAGCTCTACACCTTGTTATCTCAGATTCTCCAGCATCTGCAGTTCCTACTATCTCTGTTGTTCTTCCAGCTTGTGCTGAGCTTTGCTGGAATAATGCAGCAAGCTCGAGACAGAGAATGTTGGCCGGGGAACCTAGCTACCATCTGTTCTGAGGAAGAGTCACTGGACCCAAAAAGTTCACTCTGATTTCTCTCCACAGATATTGCCAGAGCTTTTCCGAAATTTCTATTTTTGTTTCTGATTTCCAGCAGTTATTTCGGTTTTTATTAATGAGCTGAGTTGGGCTGTTAGCAAACTGTTTAAAAAAATAATAATTCCCCCTTAATTGGTCACTTGCAGCTGCTTGTCTTAAGCATTAAAGATGGAGTGAGGTGTTCCTGTTGTTGAGATTGTCCTTGCTGCCTGACACAAATATTGCCATCGTCCATATTATTCAAACCCTGAAAGATTCTGCTCATGGTCCCAAAGGGTGATAAAGTGCTCTGTCGTTACAGAGAGATGGCCGGGGTCGGGGAGGGATGCTGTGGATCTGGTGAGGAGGTTCAGAGGGTCACCCCACAGTAACTCCAGCTGGTACAGAAAGTGAACTTGTTGCGTGTTGTTACCACACTTCATTGCAAACCAGCTCCGGAACTAACCGACCAGTCCCTACAGTAGCAGCTGTTCAAAAAAAAAATCTCGATTTCCCATCCTGTTATCAAATTCCTCTAGGGCCTCAATCATTGTAGCGTCCTGTAACCCTGCACCTCCTCCCTTTAGATCCCCAGCGTCCTTCCATCTCTGACAATTCGAAGCATTTCCAGTGTTTATCGCTCCACAGTCAGAGGCTGTACCTAGGCCTTGAATTCCGGAATTCCCTCTTTAAGCCTCTCCACCTCCCTGTCCCCATCTCTAAAGATGCTCCTTGAGCCTTGCTCTTCCCTACGTTTATGTCCATCTGCCCTAAAACTTCCTGTGTGGCTTAGCGCCACACTTTGCTTATTGATGCATCTGTGAAGCACTTTTGGGATGTAAAGGCAAGTTGTTGTTGTAACACTCTAGTTACAGGGCCCCCTTGGTGCTGGGAAAGCTTCACCTATTTCGTCTGTCAATTTTTACTGTTACGATCTTGAGAATTTTGACTGAGGCTTCCTCAAAGCATAATCTGCTCTAATGTGAATAATAGTTGGCGAAGGTTAATAATTCATCCACTGCTTTGTGTTGTAACAGAAAAACTGATGACACAAACAAAAATCCCTGTATGGGGACAGGATCAGAGCCAATTGTATTTTTTCTCCAAAACACTGTGGCCACAGAATGATTAGAATAACAGATTACATGTGGGTGTAAGTACAGAAAGATTTATCAGATAAACTTCACAAGCTGCTTTTGTCTCCTCTCTTGCATTGGTCCGCATTGTTCTGTCTCTGTTACCTTGGCAAAAATAGAATGGGGTCAGGAAATACTTAAGAGCTAAAATTTCACCTACGCTGAATAAAACAGAGCGATAAAACTGAAGATCAATTTAGGCATTTTCTTGATGAAGTTATATGAGCGTCAAAGCGGCCATAGAATCGTAGAGCTGTAAAGCACGGAAACAGACCCTTCAGTCCAACTCATCCATGCTGACCAGATATCCTAAATTAATCTAATCCCATTTGCCAGCATTTGGTCCATATCCCTCCAAACCCTTCCTATTCATATACCCATCCAGATACCTTTTAAATGTTGTAATTGTACCAGCGTCCACCACCTCTTCTGGCAGTTCATTCCATACACACACTACCCTCTGCATGAAAAATTTTCTCCTCAGGTCCTTTTTAAATCTTTCCCTTCTCACCTCAAACCTATGCCCTCTAGTTTTGGACTCCCCCACCCTGGGGAAAAGGCCTTGACTATTCACCCTATCCATTTGTAGATCTAGAAACTATTGCAAACACTTTCTGGTGCAGAGATTTACTTTGCCAAAGCCTGCTATGAGTACAGGTTAGCTCAGTTGGCTGGATGACTGGTTTGTGATGCAGGGAACTGTTAACAGTACAGGTTCACTTTCCACACTGGCAGAGGTTACCATGATGGTCCTAATTTCTCAACATTGCCCCATGCCTGGTGCATGGTGACCCGAAGGTTAAACCAATGGTCCCCTGGGATTGTGGCTGCTTCTACTACAACTTGGAGTCACCAGCAAACAGAGGGATCTTGGGATAATAATTCACAGAACCCTGAATTTGGCACAGCATGTGGATAGGATAGTTAAGAAGGCATATGGGACACTTGCTTTCATCGCTTGTGGTATAGAGTCTAAGAGCAAGGAGGTAACATTGGAGTCGTAACAGAGTGTGAGTCAGGCCACAAATGGAGTATTGTGTGCAGTTCTGGTCACCTCACTACATGAAGGATGTGATAGCACTGGAGGGGGTACAGAGGAGGTTCACAAGGATGTTGCCTCGGATGGAGGCATTGAACCATAAGGAGAGACTAGGTAGGCTTGGATTGTTTACTTTAGAGCAGAGAAGACTGAGGGGGATAGATGGAGGTGTGTAAGATTATGAGGGGTATGGACAGGTGAATAGAGAGCAGCTGTTCCCCTTGGTTGAGGGATCAATCATGAGGGGCCATAGTTTTAAGGTAAAGGGCAGGAGATTCAGGAAAAATCTTTTTCACTCAGCGGGTGGTGGGAATCTGGAATGCACTGCCTGGGAAGGTAGAGCAGGCTAGAAACGTTACAACCTTTAAAAATTATTTGGATGAGCACTTCAAATATCACAGCATTCAAGGATATGGGACAAGTGCCGAAATTGGGACTCGATCGCTTTTAGTGGTAGTTACGTCGGTGCAGACTCGATGGGCTGAAGGGCCTTTTCTACTCTGATTAATCTATGAATAAATTTGGAGGCATCACTTTCTGTTAATACGCCGCATACTCAGGAATTCACTTTAGGTTTCCAATTTGAAAAGCCACTGTTAACAGTGGGCGCAGTCCTTGCAGGTTTGATAAAATCATGCCGATTGTGTATGTTCCCATTCCAGCAGCACCGCATCGCTGACGCAGCACTTCCTTTCACAATGGGCTTTATGGATAATAGTGGGCTTGGCATGAGTGGGAGCATCAATGCTGCCTTGAACTGGGACAAACCGGGCACCTTGGCACTCCCCATGCTTCTCTACAGACTTAGGTTTCTCTTTTGTAGGTCTATATGGCCATTTTGTTCTGTGCAAAGTCAGACATTGGCATGATGCCACCTTAATTGATATCTTAATCAGCTCAACTCTGCTGCTCACTGAACAACCATATTACTTCAATGGACTCCATTTACACTTCTCGTTGCCACGGAAAGACTGCCAACATCATCGAAGACCCTTTCAACCTCTTCGGTCAGGCAGAAGATACAGATGCTTGAAAGCACACACCAGCAGGTTCAAGAACAGCTTCTTCCCCACTGTTATTAGACTGCTGAATGGACCTCTCTAACTTCAAATCTAATGTTGACCTTGGAGACAGCAAGAACTGCAGATGCTGGAGTCAGAATCAATACAGCGCAGAGCTGGAGGAAGACAGCAGGCCAGGCAGCATTAGAGGAGCAGGAAAGTCAACCTTTTGGGTTTAGGGTGTAAACCCAAAACATTGACTTTCCTGCTCCTCTGATGCTGCCTGACCTGCTGTGTCCCTCCAGCTCCACACTGTAGCGTTGACCTTGCTTTTGTGCACCACCTGTGCAGCATTACCTTGTGTGCCTCGCTCTGTCTAAGCACCCTATGATCTGTCTGTCCTTGTTAGCTATGATCTGCCTGTACTGCTCGCAAAACAAAACTTTTCACTGTGCTTTGGTACATGTGACAACAATGACTCAAATCAAGTCAAATTAAAAAATCAAAAATGAGACACAAACTCTGGGACAAAGATTCTGAAGAAGAGTCAAATTGGACTTGAACCATTAATTGGTTCCCTCTTCACAGATACTGCCAGCTGTGTTTCTCCAGTGTTCTCTGTGGTTATTTCAAATTATTCCAATTTCCCTATTAGCTGTAAATGATCTCACAGAGGAACGTTGAAACATTGAGTTTGCTCTGCAAGTTGTCAGCAATCTCACTGGGTCAGCACTCCCCTCCCCTCTCTTATAAAGCATGCTGTAACAATTTGGGCTTTTAACAGATACCATCTGGGAGTAGGGATCTTGTTTCAGTTCATGAATTACTACGTTGTTTAAAAAAAGCAGCAAACGCTAAGAACCAGAACCAAAGCTCATAGTCTAAGGGCTACAGGTTAGGCCATTTAGGACTGAGATGGGGAGAAATGTCTTCACCCAGAGAGTGGTGAACCTGCGGAATTCTCTGCCACAGAAAGCGGTTGAGGCCAAAACATTGAATGGTTTCAAGAAGGAGTTAGATATAGGAGCAAATTACTGCAGATGCTGGAATCTATATCAAAAACAAAAAGTTCTGAGATCACAGCAGGTCAGGCAGCATCCATGGAGAGAGGGTAAGTTAAAGTTTCGAGTCTAGATGAAATCTGCATTAGATATAGTTCTTAGAGCTAAAGGGATCAAAGGGTATGGGGAAGAACAGGGGACTGAGTTGGATGATCAGCCATGATCATTTTGAAAGGTGGAGCAGGCTGGAATAGCCTACTCCTGCTCCTAGTATTTTCTACGTTTCTAAGCATTCATCTACCATTTAAATTGCTAACAAGAATGGTTCCCGAGCGAAGGTACCGGATGAGTCATCCTTCATAAACTCTTTTACATGTCACATTAGCTGTTAAGATAATAGTCGTCAAACCTACAGGAGTCATTCAGCAAATGGTCATACTATTGAGAAAACATCTCAGCCCAGCAATGTAGAAGTTTCATTTTTCATTTCTCATCAGTGTGGGAAGTGGCTGTTGCTGGGAAATTAAAAGAAAAAGGAAGATGCGTGTGAAGTCAGTGAACCTCGTGAAGTAGATGAGGATATGGCAGATATTCCAGGGACAGCCGTGTTGTAAATCAATTGGTACTACAGCAGCACATGGGATGTTAAAGAGATATTCTTGTTCACTTGTGTTTGATGTCAAGATCAACCTCATCTCATTCGGATTCCTCGTCAAGTCACTTTCCAAAGAGGGGAACACGCCTGACAGTATGTTCAAGGCCGCAGGGATCCAGTGGATCTATATGATCCCTTAGATCATGCCAGGCATGGGTTAGTAAAGGCCCACTCCAGATCACTGCAGATGCAAGGACCATTAACTGTATGGTGAATGGTAATGAGCACAACTATTAAAACCTACATTTACATAGCACCTTTGACATAACTGCTTCATGGGGGCATTATATAACAAAACATGACACCCAACTCAAAGGTGATTCTAAGTCAGGTTAAAAGCCTGCTGAATAGGAGCAGTGTCTTAAAGAAGGTAAGTGGGGTCAAGAAGTAGATGGGAGGGGTTTCTAGAGCTGGGAGCCAAAGCAATTAAAGGCTCCAATTAAAGTGGATTTCAAAGATTGAAATTGAGGATGAGCAAAATGCCAGAAAAAGGAGAGCGCCAACGTCTCGCAGGGTTGTAGGGCTGGAGGAGAAACAGCGAGGGGTGAGGCTATGGGGGAATTGGAAAATGAAGGGGGGAGTTTTATGATCTGGACAGGAGGCCAGCGAGCAAGGGGTTGACATTAGAACTTCTAGTGCTGCACTGTGAACCCTAGTCCCTGACTAAATCAACGCCACTTTCCTGTTGAGCTGAAGTTAGAATGTTAGTTTCACGAGAGCAGAATTAACCTCAAAAGGTGAACCAACAGAATATTCACCAACACAGTTCGCCTGCACATTTATTGTACTTTATAATCTCGGTAGAATTATGGAACTTACCAGAACAATTCAGGCTGTATACGACCTCCTGTTGATTGAGAAAGAAACTGCATTAGTGTTGGGTTTGTATACACTACGCCTGTCAAAAGCTCAATTCCTCAGCTAACCTACCTTTATTTTCCATTTCCTGATTATCGGAAATGATGACTTTTCCAAAGAAATGGTGGTGTCAGTATTGTGACACATCTGTGCTCAGAAACCCTTCTTTGTAAATTCTCATCTTTTAGTTTAACATCCGATCCATATTCAACGTGCCCACCTTTCATCACTGAATTCATATTGCTCAGCTCAGATTGATTCAGAATTTCTCCATGTAACTTCCAACTCCAGGTCTTCCCCTCTCACTCCCTCCCTCGAACTTCATCCCCCAGTTTTCACGTTCCCTCCACACCATGCCCCCCACCAATTCCTTCCCTTACCCTGTCCTTTACCCCATCCTCTCATTCTCTGTCTCCCATTCCCTCTTTCACTCATACATCTGCAAATGCAGCATATATTTTTAGAATTAGAATTAGCTTTGTTGGTTACAGCACCATCTTAGGCACAAAGGTCCCTAAGTTCAGCTTCTTCAGTTCAGTCCTTAGAAAAATAGAGAAGTAAAAAGTTCAGCAATGCAGGAATAAATTATAAAATGGAGGAAAAACAATATTCAGTACCACGGTCTTCCAGCCCAGTCCATGCTGGCACTTAGCCTCCAGTCTGCATTGGTTCTTAATTCTAGACCGCGCCTGGCTTCCCCTCAGGGTTCACAAAGCCAGGAGATCGCTCTGGAATCACCTCGAGACCGGATGTCCATGCTGAGGCCAGTTATTGGGTCAGTTAGCTTGACAACTAGTTTGCAATACAGATTGATACCAACAGCATCAGTTCAATTCCTGCACTGGTTGAGATTGACTCTCCTTTTCAAATTTCTCTCTTTGCCTGAGGTGTGGTGATCTTCAGGTTAAAACGCCATCGTCGTCTGCTGCAGAGAGCCCTTGGAGTGAGGGCGGAATGTTTGTCTTTTTAACTTTGTTTCTTGTTTTTCTGACCTATGGTTATACTGTGTATAGCTGTAAAGTAACTACTTTTCTTCATTTCGCTAGGGTTGTACCTAAGATTGCACTGTAAGTGGTGACTTATAAACTTTTTTCTGTACTCATTTGAGTACATGTGACAATAAAGCTAATTCATTCATTCATTTATCTCTCTCTAATGAGTGAGTGGCTCCTATGATCTGGTAAGACTATGGTGATATTCCCTAGTGTAATGATTAGAACTAGGTGGATCATGTTGACTATGAGATCCTTGATTGGGATTATTAACTCGAGCCAATCAGGCAACCCTGGCTGACTAATGTAAACGGGGGATTTAGAATCACCTCAGTTCAGGGACTGACTCTGAGCTGGCTGGGAGTGTACTGTGCACAAGTAGGTGAAAGGTGACTTAGTGGCAGGATACCGGCCTCTGAGCAGTTAGTTCACCTATACTTTTTATTTATTTATGGGATATGGGCTTCTTTGGGTGAGCCAGCATTTATTGCTCCACCCCAATTGCCCCTCGAGAAAGTGGTTGCGAACTGTCTTTTTGAGTCACGGCAGTTCACATGCTTTAGGGACACCCACAATTCTGTTACGGGGGGAGTTCTAGAATTTTGACCAAGTAACATTGAAGGAATGGCGATTTAGTTCCACATAATATATCATGGTCTCTATACGTACATTTCCCAACATTTCATGTCATGGGCTATATTAACACGACATACACCATAGAGTATAAAATGTATGTCACAACAGCTATCATATAATTAATGGTCATTTTCTTTTCCCTAAGGTGGGGGCTTTCAAGACTAGGGGACATATTTTTAAGGTGAGAAGGGAGAAATTTTAAAAAGACATAAGGGACACATATTTTACATAGAGGGTGATTCGTGTATGAAATGAACTTCCTGAGGAAGTGGTGCACATGGGTACAATTACAACGTTTAAAAGACATTTGGATAAGTACATGAAAAGGGAAGATTTGGAGGGATATGGGCCAGGAGCAGGCAGGTTAGACTAGTTTAGTTTGGGATTATGTTCAGCATGGACTGGTTGGACAGAAAGGTCAGTATCTGTGATGTATGACTCTATATTATCTGCAGTTATGTATCACAAAGTAACACAATTATGATGAACAGTGTGTGATTTACATATTAATATCATTTTATCTTTACAGTTTGGATTTCAAACTAGTGACATGTTGATTACTTTGTTATTAGGTCTAAACATTAACTAAGCCAGACTTTCTGGAGCCATGATATTAAACCACTATATACTTCCGGGTATGTTTTTATGCGAGTTAATGATCCGAGCGACAAAACATTAAGTCCTTAGTTTAGCAGAAGCTAGGATGAGCAATTTGTTTTTAAAGGTAGCTCAAAAGCTTTTGAGTTCAGTTCAAAGAAGACCTGACTGAGGTCAGATGCAAATAAAACCTCTCCTGGAAAAGAAGATTGTCCAGGGTACTTAAAGAATTACCTCTATGGAACAGTAAAGTTTGTGAAACTTCCAGACCAGCAGTGTTTGGTTAGAAACCTGCATTCTTTAGTCAAAGCTGAGAAAGTCTAAGCTTTCAGCTGTGTGGGTGATGAAGGGAAAAGGGGCACACAGCTCACAGGACTGGAATTGGCAAGAAGCAGTTAACTTATAGAAGCAAACTTATAAATTTGATCGAGAAGGGATTTCTCTGGATCTGATTAAGTGTAAAATGATGGTGTTGGGGAATAGATGGGATTTTGTTTTGCTGGATATTTTGAAGTTTTTCAGTCTGTGCTTTATTTAGAGACCTTGGTTTATTTCATTTTAATTCTTTTATGTAATAAGCTTCTGTTTTATTGTTAAAACTAAATCTGCAGCCTTGTAGGCTCACAGTTCAGTGAAATACTGCCACATCAAAAAAACTTATATGATCTATCAACCCAGATTTCATTCTCGTCAGCTAAGATTGGAACATAATGCCTATACCACGAAGTCATGTGTCCCATGAAATATTATGTTATATATTAAACAAATGTGGGCCCATAACAAGCAGAGTTATGAGAACTTATAATGAGGAATAATAAAGAGCCTCAGTGAGACCACATCTGGAGTGCTGTGTGCAGCTTTGGTCTCCTTACCAAAAGCAAGGTATACTTGTCATAGAGACAGTGCCACCATGACTGGAATGGAGGGATTGTCCAATGAAGGTTAAATAGACAAGAGACTGTGTCTCTGGTCTTAAGAAGAATGGGAGGTGACCTTGTTCAAATATAGAAAGTACTTACAGTGCTCGACAGGATAGAGACAAGAACAATCATTCTCCTGGCTGGGCATTGATGGTAGTAGAGGGTATTAAAGTGGTAGGTATTGTTGGTGGTGGTGGGTATTGGTGGTGATGGTGGGTACTGATGGTGGAGTGTTGGCGGGTATTGTTTGCAGTGTTGATGGGTATTGGTGGTATTGGTGGTATTGATGGTGGGTATTGGTGGTGTGGATGGTGATGTTGGGTACTAGTGTTGGTGGGTAATGGTGGTGGTGATGGTGTGTTGGTGCTGTTGGTGACGGTTGTGGTGATGGTGATGGTGGTGTTGGTGGTGATGGCGGTGATGGTGTTGGTGGTGGTGTTGGTGGTGATGGTGGTGGTGTTGGTTGTGATGGTGATGTTGGTGGTGATGGTGGTGATGGTGGTGATGATGGTGGTGATGATGTTGGTGATGGTGGTGTTGGTGATGGTGGTGGTGATGGTGGTGGTGATGGCGGTGTTGGTGGTGGTGGTGATGGTGGTGGTGATGGTGGTGGTGATGGTGTTGATGGTGGTGTTGGTTGTGATGGTGGTGTTGTTGATGGTGGTGATGGTGGTGGTGGTGGTGTTGGTGGTGATGTTGGTGGTGATGGTGGTCGTGGTGGCGGTGTTGGTGTTGTTGGTGTTGGTGGTGATGGTGTTGTTGGTGATGGTGGTGACGGTTGTG